AAAAGAAAAATGGAAATATTCAGCCAAGAGTCAATGCTGTGCTTGTAAAGAAGTGGTCTTTCAAATGTAGTTTTAATAAATATAATCTGTCAGTGCTGTGAAAACTGGTTCCCAGGCCTCACTTCTAGCAGCCTTTTTCTGTAGAAGTAGGTGCAGCTGAGGGATCACCTGCTGTTTTCAATCATCCTGGATGAATATGATGCAGAATCTTGAGCTCACTCTGAAAAGCTCTGTTGCTGGTCACTGAATGAGTCATTGGGCTTTGACTCAAAAGCCAAATAGGCAACTGGGCAACTGGCCCAGCCAGTTTAAAAGAGGATTTTGTTGTTTGAGTAATAAGGAAAGGTAGGCCATTAGGCCACTTCCCTTTAGTATAAAAGGCCTACAAGTTTCCTCTCCTTAATTACATTAACTATGTTTCTGAGACTAGTTTTTGTTGCCAGGAGGGAAGGCTATTTAAGAACAATAGGAGATAGGGTGGGGGACAGCAATCAAAGAGAGCTGAGGGCCTTTTTTATTCATGGTGCACAAGAAATGCTATGCTAGCCTAGCACTCAAAGTTATGAGCCCCTTATTGGTTCATTACACAGACAACAGGGACTCTGAAGCAGACACCACTAAACCTTGGACTTTAGATTATCAAATTCCTTTTGGAGACCAACCAGTGAGCCAAGAAGCATAACACAAAGACAAGGAGAAATGGTTACAAAGCTCTTTCTGTCTTTTTCTCTGGGAAACTAATCAGCCCGGTGATTTAGACCTGGAAGAGATGTGCTTGAGTGAAAATGGTTTTTGAAGCTCTGAGAGAGAGTGATACCATCTCTACAGTGGCCCTGGATTGCAAAAGAACAGAGTAGAAACAATTTTTTCCTGCACCTTGAAGTTGAAGATGTCCATGCTGATTGTGGTACCTAAAAGATGAAGAAGTTGCTTTAATCTAATATATATAATGTACCTTCTTCATTAAATTTTCATTTTTCTGTTGCCAAACATTTCCAAAGATTTTAGGGGCATATGAGAAACCCTTTATATTGTGTTTTTACAGATACTACAATAGTTCTGGGTCTTGGGCGCAACTTATTTGAATCTTGTATATTTGTTGACTGGTGTCAGAAAGAATAAACAAATGGGTTTAACTGGGATAATGGAAGGATTCTGTATCTTGCTGGTTAGGACATTCACTGTGAACACGGTATCATCTGCTTCATGTCAGGTCTAGAAAAAATATTTCTTCTAATAAAACAGTGTACTTAAAGACACAGATAAGAAGGCTTCTCTAATTTCCTGTCACTATCAAGAAACTAAAAGTAATGTTTTCTGTTTCTTTGATAATATTGTTATGTCCAACTTTATTGATCAATACTCTTTTTCTCTCTGGCTTTTAATTTATACTGACTCTATGATGGTTGGTTGGAGCCATCATTTAAAATTTCTGAATTTATTATGAGTCTCTATATGTCTTTAAACATGTAAGAGTAAAACTGTGGTAGGACTCAGTGAGTCAGCTTTAACTGGTACAAAATGATCTGGTCCCTAGATACAAGAGTGACACCAAGAAAATCCCTTCCTCTCCAACATGAAGGAGTCAGAAAGAGGCTCTCCTTCTGCCTGTACATTAGAAACTTTAGTTAGATCAAGGAGGATGTAGAATGAGGCCAAAAGGGAAGAAAAGCAGAGACTGATGGTAGCATCACAGCCCTCTAGGCTGAGCTACAAGACATTCATGACTACTTCTGCAGAAAGGAAAGGAGCAACAGAACTTTCCAAACACAAGCCTAGTAAGGAGGCTTCACGGTACTTCCTAGAGAGCTTTGAAATGAATTTCTTGAAATTGGGCTATGCAAAGAAGTGGAGCCTGTCCCACAGCAAAGAAATCTATAATTTGACCCCACCCAGGAAGTCTGTTAGGAAGAGAATGGTCAACTGCTGATTTGCAGAGAGTGGAAGGTCTTTTTGCATTGAAGTGGGACAGCATAACCCCTGCTCCATAGAGGCAAATCACCTCTACTGTGAACAAATGTAGGACTCACAAGAGAGTTATAGTCAATGAGGTTGTAAGTTAATACTAGACTATACCTGCATTCTTTCAGCTCAAGCAGTGTCTGTTTCTACTTGAGAAGAATCCTCAGACTGCTGACCTATCCGTTATATTTGTGCTTTGCCTATCTAATAAACAAAAATGACTCCCCTCAGTGAAACTGTCTGATTGGGAAAGAAAACCAAATAAACAAACAAATCATCTCTAAGGTATACATTTCGCCTGAGAAATTTGCTTTGTTAGAACAGAGCATGAAGTGGCATCATGTCTCAACTAACTGCTATCTACAGAAGCAGATGCTCATCTGCAGCACTGTAATACTTGTTACAGCTTGGATGAGGGAAAGTGGAAGGAAGACAAAAAGATATTAGTGTGAGCTCTGTCTTAGATGGGTGAGTCTGGGCAGGGAGGAGTAGTTGAAAAAGGGTAGAAGTCAGACAGTGGAACTGCCTGACTCATCAGCAATGGAAGTGTCTGCAGCCAACACAAACTGCACCCAGCTCTCACTTTTGCAAGTTGTAACACTTGCCAAGATGTGTCTGTGTGGGCAAGAATTTCTCTGATGTAATTTTGTGCTCTTTAAATCACTAATTTGACTATAAGCAAAAGAAAAATCAATTGCAGAACAGTTATAAATATATATTTTATTGTAGATTTAAAATACAGAAAGGGGACTGAATATATATTGACAACAAAGGCTGAAACAATAACATTGGGAGAAATTCAGATGCTATATGTTGGAAGCTTTCCCTCTGTCAGAAGTACAGAAAACTCTACTGGTCAAAAAAAAAAAAAAAAGCCTTACAATTATGTTGGCTGTTGACTGTTAGTGTGGCAATATCATTTTGTCTTCTCTGCCTTGATTGTCCCAAGAATGAGGCAATGACAGAATGGCATCATTAAGTTTCACAAAAAAAGCTCCATGGATAAAATCATGCTTGCTACGAAGTATAAGGACTTGAGTTTAGATCCCCAAACTCCATGTAATAGTCAGCCATAGTGGCACACACCTGTAACACAAGAACTGTGAGTAGTAAGGTAAAGAAGCCATAGGTAGATCACTAGAACCAAATGGTGGACCAGCCAAGCCAAATAGATGAGTTCTATGTTCAGTGAGAGACCATGCTTAAAAGATTAAGGTGAAGAACAATTAAGGAAGACACTCAGTGTACCACCCACAAGCAAATGCATACATGCACAGGTTTTCCCACAACATATACATACAACATATACATACATCTACCTACACAATCACATACAACATCCAAACACCACACACACACACACACACACACACACACACACACACACACACACAGAGAGAGAGAGAGAAAACTTTCACAAAGAGTGGTGTCCTAATGAACCAGTTTTCCAAAAGAAATGCTCTGGTTTGTAGTTAACATCCATGGTATAAAATTTCCCAGACTGTCCAATTACTAAAAATTAAACAATCAGTTCTTATAAAGTAGTGTTAGCCCATGCCAGCACAGTGCTACTTACAACACAACAGATATCAACACTAACAGGATTCTATAAATACATATGACATAATTTTAATTTCCTGAGAAGATATACAAACAGAAGAGTCTTTGTACCCTACAGCAATTCAGCAACTACTAATAAAAAGAAATAAGAAGAAATAGCTTAGCCCATAGAAGAATTTTTGTTACATACAATAAAAATATTTTAAATTAACTTTATATAAAATAATATAGCTTTTCACAAATGCCCATAAATATTGTAAATCGGTTTAAAATATGTTTCAACAAGAACTTGAAAGCTGGCTAAATGTAACAGAGTCCAAAATTTGAACACGGATATTCTCTATTACTTTGAGAAGTTAGCATGCTTGAGCGAGATGAGCTGTTCCAACAAGATTCTGGATTTTCTTGCTCAGGCAAGAAAAGGAAAATGTCCGCTGGTACAGAAGGACTTTCATGCAGCTTCATTCTGGCCACGTTAGGGTAAAGCTGATGCGTCCATTTTAAAGTTGAATTTATTCTATTTTAGAGATGTGTAATGAGATAATAGAGCTACCAGTTTCAAAGCAGAGGGCATATGGACTGCAAAATGAAAACCCCACTCATGTAATTCATTTTATTTCTGAGTTGAAGTAAGAGTTTCATTATCCATCTATCCGTGTTCTCACTGTTCAATTTTTTTTCCAAAAATATCTGTCCCATTAATATCATAGAGTTATTGTTATAGAAAAACTGACCTATTTGCCAATTAGGAAACACCAAGTAAAAATGTGCAATCATTACATTATACAGCCAGAGAAGTGCCAATTTCTGGGGTTAAATCTAATGACTACTAGTGCAAATTCTCATTTTACTATTTTCAGTGTTTATACATACATACATACAAAAACAGCTTGGGTGAAAGTTCAAAATGAACCTGTGTCCTGAGAATGATGAAATCAAGAAAAACCCCAGAGAAATTTCATTTCATGCCATATGTACCTCGGTCCCCATAGGTTTCATAGTGTTCTCTGTCTTTTAAAAATACCACATCTAAAGAAGAGTGCTGTTGGCATATCTTGGCCACCCTACCAGTCTGACAACTTTTCATTAGGAGGCACTCAGAAGGTGAGGGTATGAAAAGATCAAGCTAAAACAGCTCAAGGAAATGATGATGGAAAAAGAGGCCAAGCTATTACCCTACACCCTTTTTACAAACCAAGTAAGACTCCCATGGAAATAGGACCTCATTTTCCACCCAGGGATTCAAGGGTTAGACATTTTTTGGAAGAGTTTCTGTCCTCTGCGGCCCATACTCATTTCATCATGGATTATGCAAGTATATTTGCAGACCCAACATTAAACATTTGGCCCCATCGCTGAGTCTTCTTCAGACAGATAGGAGGGTTAAAGTCTTACATGTCAAAAGGTTCTGTTTGTGTTGATTTGTAAGCCCTCACAAACTGTGTGCATTTCTAACAATCAGCCCCCTCCAACCCACCCCCCAGCATCTCTAGATACACTGAAGAAGATGAGGAGACCAAACTAAAATTCTAAGAAGTGAATGATAGATCTGGCATTAAACTGATCCCCCAGTATGTTTTATTTTTCTCAACATGGTCGTTGCTGTTGAACTTCAAATAGATGGTATCTCCAGCTTTCAGTTCATGAACCCCTACTAGCGTTAAGATTTGAAAGTCATCATTTTCATCTTTTGCAGTTTGTAAAACAATATCTTTTTGTTTAACAATCTGTACTATAAAGGGTACATGGTATGTTATGTATTCTTCAGCAACAGGAGTCACTTGGCCGTAGATTAAATACATGCCACTGTGAAGTATCTTCAGCATCCCATCAGATGTCATATTCACACAAAAAGGTTTACGAGATGTCATATGCCATTTTGGGGGTAATAGATCTACAAGAAATTGAAAAGGGAGAGAAAAAAATGAAATCATGTTTATATTATTATTTTATCTTCTACCTGGTTGTAGTATATTCTTTACTTCCTACAGGTAGATTTTTTTCCTGGTCTATTCTAGTTTTCTTAGACTGCATTTTCAATATCTTGCGAGAACCAACCATCTCTGTTTTAGAAAAATTGCAGATCACAATAAATCTGTACTTCTCGGGTATTATGAATAAAGAAGGGAGGAGGGAGAAAGGAATCACACAATAAGACTAGAAAAAAAAAAAGACTACTCAGAACATCCCCATATTTTTCTTTACCAATGGCATGTTCCCTAATCAACCTACACTCAACATTGCTCTCCTGTGACTCCCTTGCTCTATCCTGTTATAATTTTCCTCACTGATGGTGTTAGCAAGAAGCATAATAATATAAATTAATTTGGCCATTTTTCTATTGTCTTACATCCACCTGAATAAGACATCTTTGATAATAAGTATTCTCCATTTGTCCAATTACTGTATTCCTATCTCCTAAATAAATTCCTAGAATTGTGTGGGCTCAACAAACTTTTCCTGCCCAGTGTGGGCTCAAATTGCTGCATTCGAGTGATCCTCCTACCTCAGCATCTTAGGTAAAGATCTCTAAACTGATTGACAGGTCTGTGTTTCTGAATTTGATGCTTTGTGTCTAAAATATGGTTCTTCATACCACTTTCAACTTCACATATCATTATCTAGCTTACTTCCAAATACCTACAGATACATTGATAACTTTAAATTTATTTAATTAAATATAACTATCTTTGGGAAGATGGGAGGTGGGTAATGTGTCCAAATTTAGTCATTCCCTTTCCTATGTACTGCACTTAAATGTTTCCCTAATGTTAGCAGTTTAGTAGAACTATGTAGCTTCAGTGCCCCAGGAGGTGCTTTTACTGGTTCAAAGTTCTTCTCTGACCTTTTCTGTTATTCCTCATAATTTTAGTTACATAGGACAAAGCCTAGTACAGGTAACACTGACTTGGATGCTTGTTTATATATAAGTAGTACAAGACTCAGAGATAGATACTGGAGCACTGATCAGTAACGTAAAAACAAAGCCCCGCTGCACCTCCGTGAGCTCTGCATGTCTCCTCACTCGCATGCAGTAGGCAGGTCTCCAGGAACAAGTATAATGATTTTTTTTTCCTATTTAACTCAGTTATGGGACTTTTTAAAGATTACCTTAGCATCATTTTTTTAAAGCATATCAAGAAGAATTTCAAACATATTATATGTTCTATTTTTTTCACTAGCAAAACAAAACACAAAGCCAGGGACATATGCCAAAAAGGTTCTAACCTCTGAGAGCCAAGGTATCTTGAAAAACTGGAGCAAAAGATAGAAGAGTGAAGAACTGAATTATAGAAATTGTCTACTCTTAAATGAACATGTGTGTGTGGCCGTAAAAGCATTTTGAAAATGTATACACTTGATGTTTTTGCACATGCTCTAAGAAATATCCTGAGACTTGATGTGCTGGTTGGCATTACTTGTGAACTTGGCACAACAGAGAATTGTCTGGGAAGAGAGCCTAAGTGAGAACTGTCTGTGTTGAATGGGTCTTACAGAGGATTGTCTTAATCAAGTTGATAGATGTGAAGACTGTCTGACATGAACTGATTGGCCTGCTCTTTGATCACCTCCCCCTCAGGGAGGAAGGGGTGCAGCCTTACCAGGTCACAGAGGAAGACAATGCAACCAGTCCTGATAAGACCTGATAGGCTAGGGTCAGATGGAAGGGGAGGAGGACCTCCTTTATCAGTGGACTTGGGGAGGGGCAAGGGTGGAGCAGAGGGAGAAAGGGAGGGATTGGGAGGGAAAGAGGGAGGTAGCTACAGGTGGGATACAAAGTGAATAAACTGTAATTAATAAAAATTAAAATAAAATATAAAAAATATCCATCCTACTATGGTTGGTTTCATTCCCTGGGCAAGATATCCTGAACTATGAAAAGTAGAGAAGTGGAACTTAGCATTAGAAAGCAAGCAAGTAAACAAGTATCTGTTTCATTTCTCTCTGCTCTTGACTGTGGATGTGAATAGATGCTTGTCCAGCTCCGGCTGCTCTGATTTTGTCACAATGACAAACCATCATTTGCACTTGTGAGATAAAATAAATTCTTTTTCTCCCCAGTTGCTTTTTGTCAGGCTGTCTTCTTAAATGAAATGAAATGAAATGAAATGAAACCTAAAATGGTCAGCAGCACTGTTTTTCATGTTTTCTGAGCAAGTATCAGATGACTATAAAGAAAAGTGACTCAGAAGCAAAGAGGAAGTGCTTCTTCCTCTAACTCTCCACTCCTCCTCTGTGAACTTACTAACAGCAGTCATGGCTCCCAGACACTCTACTGGACATTATAACAAGGACTTTGAGAAAAGGTTGTAGGAATCTGAAAAGCATCCTTAATAAACCACCAATAAAGGCTGATTGCAGTATGCACAGCCACAAGTTTTTTTAGTGGGATGTTTAAGTTTGCCAAGAGGGTCACCACATGTGGGCTTGTTGGTCTGGCTCTGCTCTGGAAGCAATACAGGATGAGTGATTGTAATAAAGAATAATTGAACATAGGCGAAAGGAGGTACAGTCTTCTTCAGGGCATCAGCAACTGCCTTCTTGCATCAGAAACTAAGGAAAATGAAAATAAACTATGAAAGATGGGTTACTCACCAAACTTAACCATGCAGGAATCCTTGGCAGTTAGCTGTAGAAGGAAAAGAAGAACCAGTCAGAATGATGGCAAAGCTTAAAGTTTCTAAAGCAAACTACTTTCCAAAGCCAACATAAACAAACAAATAAAGAAACACAACACCACCAAAAAACCACACCTGCCCTTACTTCTTATTTCTTTGCTTCCCTCTATGGATGACTGGCACAGTCCTTTACATGTGACATACAGTTGATTTGACATTAGAATTTAGGAAAAATAGGAAGAAGAAAGGGAGGTATAGAGGTGAGGATAGAGGTTTTATCTGTCAGCAGAGTTGTTTGTTTGTTTGTTTGTTTGTTTGTTTTTAATCTATACAGCAGAGTTTAGCTGTATAAGGAGACAAAGAAAAGCCTGAATAGAGTGATGGACACTATTAACTTAATTTTTTAAATGGTATCAGTGAATAATAGATTTGATAATGAGAAGAAAGCTAGCAGATTTCTTTTTGGGTCTTTCATCCAGGACTTTGGTGTCTCGTTGTCTCATTCTGTTCATTTAACTGACTCACAAAGCAAGTACTGGGGCTATGTTCGTCCTCTCTAGTTTACTGCAAACAGCAGTCTCTATAGCCCTTTAGTTTCCCCAGATTATCTGTTGCACATGGGAAGAAAGCAATGGAACTCCTACTTATATTTCTCTTTACTTAAAATGGCAATAAACTGGCTCTAGAGATATTTAATATTTAGAAGATCACATGCCATATGTAATACCTAAGATGCCCTCAGAATCAGATACAGTCATATCAAATGTCTGCGCAACTTACATGCCGAAAAATGACATTAGTTATGGCTAATTCACAAATACAAATACTTAAATGCTGCTAAATGCTTGAGAGGAAAATAAGGCATAACCACCAAAGGTTTTGGTACTCAAACTTTGTTGGTTTCCTTGAAGCAAAGTGCCCAAAAAAACGTAAAAAAAAAAAAAAAAAAAAAAAAAAAAAAAAAAAAAAAAAAAAAAAGAGAGAGAGAGAGACTGCTATATTTTCCTTTTAAAGGATTTTTCCAGGCTTCTCACAAATTTCTTTCTATTGTGCTAGAAAGAAACTAAACAGAAGGAAAGACGAAATCAGTTAAGCATGAATTGGAGTGTTGTAAACAGGACCTCACAGTGCCTCTGACCAAGGTGCTGGCGGAAGGGAAAGAAGCTGTTGGTCTGAAATAGTGATGCGTGTCTATCCTAGTAGCACTCGGGAGGCTGGAACAGGAAAGCTGTGGGTTTTAGCTCAAGCTAGACTACGTTTAAAAGGAAGCAAGAAATAACTAGCATTCCTGACGTGAATCTAGCGTAAGACAATGGTAAGAAGCAAAGATGACTCTCAAGATTTGGGACTGCAGTTACTGGAAAAATAAAGTTAATTGCCAAAATGGGCAAAACTAAGAGAAATAAATTAAGAAGAGAATGATCATGAGTTTTGAACATGTTCATTTGTAATGCTTATTAGATATCAAGTAGGCAGCTAAACATGTGATGACCAGACTCCTCGTTGCTTTCAGACATGACATTATATGTGAACATCAAGTCCAAAAAGATAATTTTCAATTGTTATAGTCAAAGGCAGAAATGAAGATCAATTTAAATATAAACTTCAAATTGCTGTATTATAAAATGTTAAACTAAAATTAAGAAAATTAAAAGGCACTGGATTTCCTGAAATTGGTTTTACTCTTGCAATTATTTCATCTGCATTTTGGTTTTTCTTAGAAGAGATGCCCAAATCCAATTCAGAACAATGACTAATAGGCTTACAGAGAGACTCCCAGAACTCAAAGTTCCTGATCTATTAATCAGGGCATAATAGCAGGGTTCACTGAGCCTATTGTTTGACTTAACTGTGTTGACCCTTGGGAGGGCTTCTTTAGACTTCCTATCTGAATCTGCTCAGTAAATATCAGCTGTTTTGATAATGATTCTGGTTATAAAAAATAAGTAAACAAGCAATTTAAGTACTGATATTCCAAACATTATACTAGCACTGTAAGCAAGAGAGACAAATTTGCTGTAATTGTTGCTTCTCAAGAAGTTTGTAATCTAACTAGAATGACATAATCATGCATATAAAGCAATTAAGTAGGCATCTAAATATAAATGTCATGGATTTTGTTCCAGCTATTCCCATGTGTAAAGAGTACACAGAAAATCTCTATCTACAGAAAAATGAGCTGTCAGAGACAAACATGAAGAAAGAGTATTGAAAGCTCCTTTAATATCTATTTGGAGTTAGAAAACACAACCTAGCTCATCTTTTAAGTATTGTCATAAGTAAAACTCTAATTGAAAATTCATCAGTTTGGTTGAGAGGTGTGGTCTTTTACTGAGGAAGGGATAAGGTTAGACAAGCAATACACCTTTTAAATGACCTTGTTTGTTTTCATTGTAACCTTATATCCAACCATGTTATGAATACTAATCCTTGCCACCTCTCTAGAGCCTACCATGAGTCAGGCACAGGACTGCCTCATTATTCCTTGAGGCATCTCTGTAAGAACCAGCATGTTCCTTCTGCAGATGAGGAAATGAGGACACGGTGATGAAGCAACCAGCCCAAGGTCATATGGCTGATAAGAGGCGAGGCTGGGATCCAAAAACCAGACTGTCTTATTCAAAACTCTCACTCACCCCCACCACTTACTGGGGCAGTTTCTATTTATAATTCTGGTGATGTTACAAAAAGGTACACACAAGGCTTTCTGTTTACTTTAGTTTTGCTTGCTTTTATTTATAAGATCAGTTACCTTCTAACCTCACTTTGGTTTAAGCCTAGATTTACTTGGTTTGTCTCAAAATGACAAAAAAAAAAAAAAGACTTTAGACTAACCCTAACTATCTCTGTTAAAAACAAACAAACAAACAAAAAAAAACAAACACTCTGTCTGTTTGCAAGCTGAGTTGTACAAATGCCATTTTCCCTTCTGGAATAATATCCTTCATTTCACTGAAGAAAGGGACTTTCCTGCATATTTGGATCCTTCAGAGAGAACTTCTGTGAACTACTCTCATGGAGGGGTTGGCCAAACTCCTTGAGCTCTGAGCCTATTCTATTAACTAGTGTCTTCTAGAAGAGAAGGAGAAAAAAAGTTCTCACAGGAAAGTTTCTGCTGATATGAAAGGAGCCAAGGTTCCCATCTTTTAACTGTAAGAGACTTTTTTTTAAAATGGGAATGTGCAAGAAAAACTGGAGTGGAGAAAAAAAAAGAAAATCTTCTAAGCTCCTAAGTGTGAGAACGGTGGAAGTGACCCCCTCATAATGACCTGCCACCTGCTAGCCACTCAGCTCTCTCTGCTCAAGACATTCCTTTGTAGCTAGCTAATAAAGAAAGTGTAATTCTGAAGCTAATGCTGAAGGCCAGTGGATTTTCCATAGCAACCAGGCTGCCAAGCATCATGTCAGGAAAACCTTTTTACTTCCCTAAGTTTGTGAAACTCTTAGTTATTTTTAGAAAGGGAACCCTTCATAGAAAGGGGTGTGTTCCTTTGAGGGATAACCTGGAATCAATGTTCAAAAACTATGAATTAGCAAGGTTTGATTGTGGGAAGAGGTGTCACTCAGAAAGTCATTCCCTCCCCTGCCCATTTCATTCAAGAGTCAATGGCGTGCAGGAGGAAAAAGCATTTCCAATGTGAAATTAATGCCATTCTCTCCCTTCCTCCTTTAAACACTTGAGAATGCTGATAGTCCCTTTCCTTCTGCTCAACATCTATTGCTTTAGAAAGTTCATGTCTTGGTTCATTCTTTGGAAGGGCGAGGTTGGGGATGAGAACTTCCTCTGCCTCTCATCCATTTACACAGTTACAGACTGCAGAATAGGCTCCTACCTAAACCTTTAGCAAGTCCCATTAACTGACCTCGAATCAACAGCACACTGTTGGTTGGTCTCCTTAGAAAAATGTTTCTGTGCCCACACCACAATCCTTTCTTACACAGGTGTCACAGGTATTCATCATTTTACTCTTCCCAAGGCTTAGGGTCTTTAATGTACCCAGAAATAGGACAGCTCTTGAATTATATAAACTCTTATTTAATTTCTCTATGGTCAATTCCTTTTTGGTTTTGTTTTAATTTTTTGTTTTTCGAAACAGGGTTTCTGTATAGCCCTGCGTGTCCTGGAATAGAAAACGCTTCAGAAAGACCCTAACTAATATACATTCCCAGTGTATGTCCCATCTAGACCCACAATTTAGATTAGAGTTCAATGGGAAAGTCCTGATAACCGTCACATTCCCAGTGTAGGTCCTATCTAGACCCACAATTTAGATTGCAACTCAATGGGAAATTCCCAATAGCCTTCAGGGGCTTCCCAAACAGACATGTGCTCCTTCTTCCTCCATGAAGCTTTCCATGGTCACCCCCAGCCCAAAGTCATTGTCCTCACTTTAGAGTTCTTAAACTAGAACTACATGCCCTATCCTACTCTCAGGTAAATTGTTGGGCAATGTAATTATTGCTAGAAGGGCACTAAATAAACATATCCATTTCCCTGTCACCATGCTGCAGATCTAAAAACTAGAATCAGAACAACCACACAACTTTCTCAAGCTTGTGCAACATGGGGAGACTAACCTAGAACTGGAATCCAGGTTTTCTTTTTTCAAGTTCAATACCACTTCCTCTTCAACATGCATTTGCTTCCTGTCACTTTTTTCTGTTTCCCATTATCTTTTTGTGTCTCTTCCTCCAATGAGACCACAGCTTGTCTCCAATGACCTAAAGACAAGCACCATGTTTCAGGTCTCTTTCTCTCTCTCTCTCTCTCTCTCTCTCTCTCTCTCTCTTTTTGTCTATTGAGAAGATACAAGTGGAATCTTAGGAAGACAAAAAGAGCCTCCACAGACACCTGTTAAAGGCTCGGTTTAAACATGAATCCTATCTAGTTCAAGCCTACAGTGAACATTTAGTGTTTTCTTGGTGCCTTCTGTCTCAAAACATCCAGATGAGTTTCAAGAACCATGTCATTACAAGACTTGAATTGTTTACACTGCTTGTACTCTCAGACCTCTTCCTTCCCACTACCTCTAGCAATACTGAGTGGCAACGATAACAATCAGGCCAACAAATAACCTTTACATAATATAATTAGCAACTGCAGGTTCTACTACCACCTTACCTTGAGTGAAGTAAAGATCAGCGCACCAGTGGTATAGAACAGCACCAGGACCAGGGCAGCTATGCACAAGAGCCATGGCTTCTTGAATCTCTGTGCCCCTTGAGGACTTGACTGTCTGAAAGTAATGTCCTCCATGAGGCTAGAACTCTTTCTCTGGAGGGATGAGAGCTGTGGAAAGCAGATATGCACAAGTGATGGATGAACGATGCAATGTCATGTTTTATAGTAATTAGCCCGTGGGTGTAAGAGGTGGAGTTTTCCTTTGGAACACTGCTGAGCACTGACAGTCATCATGGCAGTGGGCCAAACATACAAAAGGAATGAGAAGGCTTAGAGCCAACAGAACCACGGGAGGGGGGAAAAAAGCCACTGTGAGGGAAGTACAGAAGGGAAAAGTCTTTCCTCAAGCAAGAGGAAGTCCTGTGTGCATGCGCGGCCAGCCTTGGCTGCTGTAAGACACCCTGTGCATTCCAAGTCATTTCCAACTACGAAAAATTCTTGTAAGAATGCATAAAATTGTAAAAGTTTTGTCATACTGCAGATACAATGACTGGGTAAGACAGAGAGTTAGGGAGCTGAAGAAGTAAGGATGCATGGTTTAAACAACATAGTTCTCATGAAGTCATCGCATTGTACACTTTACATATGTGTCATTTTACAGAAACATCATTTTTATTCATCAGTTACACCTTGGTAGACATTTTAAAACATCAAATCAAAGCTATAATCACACAAAAAAAAAACAATTTCAATTACAGAATGCATTTATTCTGATTTTTTTTTTTTTTAAGAAACTGCAACTGAGAGCTGGAGAGATGGTTTGGCCATTAATAGCATTTGTTACTTTTCAGTTCAATTCCCAGCAGCGATGTGATGTCTAACAACCGTCTATTGCTCCAATTCTAGGGGACCCAACCCCCTCTTCTGACCTTCCAGGGTACCAGATACACACATGATACCTGTACATATACATGGACAAAACATTCATACACACAAAACAAGTCTAAAAATTGGGTGGGAAAGCCTGAAAATACACTGCTAGAACTAAGCAAATATTGATAAACAAAATAATAGTCAGTTTTCTCAAACTTTCACCGTGTTGAAACTAAATTCCAACTCTGCCATCAAATAGAAATAGAGTTATTATTTAAAAGGTTATCTCTTCTACCTTGTCCCCAACCTCAGTTTATACTTTGTCCTTCACCCACAACCATAATTTTTTTTCCTTCTGACATAACAATACAAATTAAGCACAAAAATAAAGAAGTCCCCATGTATGAATGTAATCTAGAACCTCTACTCAGATGTAGCCTGTGGTAGCTCAGTAACCAATTGGTTTCCCATAGTGAGGGGAACAAGGACTATTTCTAACAGGAACTCAATGACTAGCTCTTTGGCCTCCCCACCCCCCAGGGGAGGAGCAGTCTGTTAGGCCACAGAGGAGAGCTTTGCAGCCAGTCCTGAAGATACCTGATAAAACAGGATCAGATGAATGGGGAGGAGGTCCCCCCTATTAGTGGACTTGGCAAGGGGCACGGTGGAGATGAGGGAGGGAGGGACTGGGAGGGAATGAGGGATCGGGACACGGCTGGGATACAGAGTTAATAAAATGTAACTGATAAGAAAAAAATAAAATTCAAAAAAAATAAATAAATAAAGAAGTTCTTTGCTCTCTGTACACAAGCGTCCTCATCTGTTAAAGCAAAAGTATTACCTGACTTACAGAATGCCAGCATCATTTGTTAGAAACCTCATGGGCTTTTAATCTAGACACACCTTAGAGGGAACACTGCTGGCTGCAGCTCAGCCCTAAGTTGTTGTATGGCATGTTGGTGGATTTCTCTGAGCCTGTATTTATACTTCATAATAGTTTTTGCAAAAATAAAATAAATGTACAAAGTTTAGCTTACAAAAGACATTCCATAATGGTCGTTATAGCTTATATCTGCCCTCTTGAGAAGTGTGGAGATTAACTCAATTATGTAATCCTAGAAAAGAATAATATTCCTTATTATTTTTTCATTGAAAATAGTTCAACCAAAGTTAATTTAAATGAAAGTATTTTTTTAATTTAAAAGAAAAGCAAAGTTTTTTTTTTTTTTTGTTTTTGTTTTTGTTTTTTTTTAAGCGGGGAAGGAAAACAGATTTAACATCCTCATCTATGAAAAAGGAAGCTAAGGTTAGTGGAGGCTGGGGCTTCCTGAAATCACCAGTGGCTGATGAAGTGGAAACCATAGACCAGAGACCAGAGAATTTTGTAACAAAACCAAATCTGTCTTAGTCTCACACTATTTTGGGCAGTATTTCCTACTGAGTTATCAGAATTTCAGCTTGACCCTATTGTATATTGGCAATAAACTACTCTTGAGTCAGACGATTACATAAAGAAAATTCTTAAGCACAACAGGTATTTTTATGACTTTGGACTAGATAATACCACACAGGGGTGAATGGGCTCTTGAGGAAGAACACTTTGATCCTGTAACTCTTGCCCTTGTGCTACAGAGAGAACTTAAAATCCACCATTGAGAAGCAGAGTTCTTTCCGTCTTGCTCATCCCATCTGCTCCTTTCTTGTCTCCTGTCCAAATGTTAGATGGAACTTCTGCTTACTCACTTCAGAAGAGATGCAATTCTCGTGAGAAACTAGTCCAAGTGAAAATCCACGTCCACCTTCAGATAAGGTTGGGCTTCGGTGTATTCTTATTTTAGCTTTATGACAGTATCTAAAGAAAACTGACACAGTTATCTTATGAAGAATGTACATGCCAGGGCTTCTTTCCATTAAACAAGACCCAGAAATGATGAAACTTCAAGTCAGCACAGGAGACAGTAGGGAAGAATTTTGGCATTCTCAAGTTTTGAGTCATAACTGATGCCTTGTTATCATTACTTTGTGGCATCTCAGAATTCGACAGAGGCAAGTGCACACCAAACTCAACATTTACCTTAATTTAAGGACTCTTTTGGCTTAGACAGTTGTAAATGAAATTTTTAAAAATCTTAAATACAACTAGCAAATCTATTTTTTTTTATTTTTGAGACTATAATATAATGTATATCCCTTTCCTTTTATCCTTTCAAACCTTCCTACATACCCTTTCTTGCATGGAGATTTTGAAGAATGTTTAAACCATGGTCACCAAAGAATTTACCACTCAACCACACTAAAATCATACACACAGGGATATCTGTGCCCATATGAATATTGCATATAAGACAGTAGAAGTAGAAATTAAAATATCTTGGTAAGTGAAGTAATTAAAAAGGCAGGTTAGAATGGCAGAAGAAAAGAAAACACTTTTTTTCCCCTGAAGAAATAACAAAATGTAAGGTATATGTTAAGAGGTGTGGACAGCTGTAAATGTTAGAAATTAAAAGAAAATGTTCAGAAAAAAAATACAAAAATTTCTTCCATGTCTTTTCAGGTTATAAAAAAAAAATATCTGAGAAACACTCAGTCAAATAATTTAATTATATTCATTCCTGTCTTAAATTGAGAATGAATTAGTTAATACACATGTGATTGTAATTCAGTTATGGACTAAGAACACTAAAACATATTAGGCATCCACTCTGCATAATCATTACATTTGAATATCAAGTACCCCTTTGTTGAATATCCCCTTTATAAAAATTATCAAACTGATACTTGCAAGGATAATTAGCTCATACAAGAAGAGGGATTGAATCCTCATCTGCTGACCCAGAACACTCATATTGTGTGTATCTCTCTACACTAGATAAATAGGGTGAGAAATGTGTAACATCTGTGACAAAGCATGAAGCCATGATCGGCTTCCTCCCCAAGCCTGTTACACTTGGGTCTGCAGGCCTGGGCCCCATCTCCTTTTACAACTATTTATTATAATTTCGTTCTCTTTGGTGGTATATAATTTCTCACATTCAGTTAAAAACATCTTCTATATCAGAATTTAGTGAGGAACGGTGCACATTACTCTAGATATTAGAGCATTCCTTATATTTTCTCAAAGAAGGAACGGTTGAGATAAATAAGTGGATGTAATTACATAGGGAACAGAAAAATAGGAGGAGAAAAAGGAAGGAGAGGAGAGGAGACGTTATCATATAATGAGTGTTTCAATTTTGCAATTTTAAGGCAAGAACTATTAAGACTGAAATGTCTAGTCTATAAAAATGATTGTGGGACAGAGCATGTGGCCCAGTCAGTAGTGGAGTGCTTGCCGAAGCTAGACAAGGCTGTGAGTTTGATCACCCAGCACCAAAACAAAGAGGCTGGTGCTCAACTCACAATGCAGAAGTAAATTTATGTGCTCGTCTTTATACAGATACGTGTATCTCTGTGTGCAGATGTATACAAGCAGGTGTATACTGTGTCTACCGTAATTCTAAATGTTATACAGCAGCTCCTCATAACAACCATCAGGTCATCTTTTTTAAAGAATTATATATGGCCCTAGCCAAAGTGTTCTATTCAAACTAGTTTTTTCATTGTTTGATGGTTTCATACATTTATGTGATGACTTTTAGTCATTTTCATTTCCCCAACCCCCTATCTTATCCTAATTTCTTTATCACTGGAATACTTCTCAGTAATTCCCCTCTTATTTTCACAACTCCTTTTTGTTTGTGTGTAGTCCACAGAGTTAATGAACATTCCATGTCCGAGCATGGATGAAAGGGTTTATTTTACTAGAACAAGGACAATTTATCATGTCTACACCAATGAAGAAAAAGACACCCACAAACTTTTAATTACCAATGGCCCTTTGGGAAGAGTATAACCTCTCAGGGATATACCAGACACAGTCCTGTGCAGATCACCAATCTCTGCAGTGAGCTTATGAGACAGCTATGTCATGTCTGAAGGACATCTTTAGCTATACATCTATCCTCTGGTTCTTCCTTTCGTTCCTCCTGCTCTTCCATGATGTTCCCTGAGTCTTTCAGGAGAGTAATGTTGCTGTCCCATTTAGGCCTCGACCATCAGTTACTCTTGGCCTTTTGGCCAGTTGTGGGTTCTTGCATTAACTGCTGTCTGCTACAGTAAGAAGCTTTCCCAACGTATGTTGTACATGGCACTAACCTATTAGCATTAACACGAGTATTTAAAAGGTGGTTAGACAATACGATTCTTTAGCAAAATGATAGCATCAGGTACTCTGTCGGGCCTATGACTTTCCCTGCCACAGAC